GCACCCGGTCACCTGTATCCACCACTCTGCCATGAGCTGTCGCTCGCTGTGGGTGAAGCCCCGGGGAACACCCCCCAGGCACCACTGACAACGTGAGCCTGGCCAGCAGCCCCCGGGTAACCCCAGTCCCTGCCGGGGACCCCCAGCCGGCACAGCCAGCTTTGCCATCGCCCTTGGGAGACAAACACTGCTGTAGCTTTAGCAGCCTTAGACCTCAGAAATGGGATCTGGAAAGGCAACCAGAGTGCTTTGGGGAACGTATTTTAAGCCAAGACGCGTGTAGGGTGCAGGAAGGATGCTCGGAGTAACAGCCCGGTGGGCTGCAAAGGGGTTAGACCCGTTCATGACGCCAGAGAATTTGAAGACCAAGATGATATTGGAGCTCACGACCCAGGAGCCATCAAGTACCACCAGGCCCACAACCCTCGCCCCTGCCCGTCCTTTCAACAGCTTTTTTTTCCTTTCTGGACGAGGTTTCCATCCTCGGCAGGGGAGAGCCCTTGGCAGCACTGACCCAGCCCCACATTTCATTTTTCCCAGCTGAATACCTTCCAGTGTTTTAAATGAAGGAAAATGAATTGGAGCTCATCAATCAGTGGCAGTCGGTGCCTGCCCTCTGCCCTGCCTGGGTATTTTTTTTTTTCCCTCCCTAAATTCAATTAGGGATGATCAGGAGCTTCTCCCCCAGGGAATCACTGGGCTGGTGGCCTCTCCCCCATGACAGCCCCGCTCCGCTCGTTGCCAGAGGTGGCCTCAGCTGCTGCCTTTGCCGCTCGCTGTCCCCACGATGGGGAGGTCACACAAGTACGCAGTCCCATGGGATGGCCGTCGGGAACAGAGCAGGGATGGAGCTGCCCAAACTCCTGGCTCAACCCCCCCTCCACCTTCTCCCCCAGCAAAACCCACCAAAGCTGCAACCATCAACCTCCCCTGGTGGCGTGGTCAAACCCTGGGGCAAAGCAACCAAAAGGCCCCTTTTTAAACCCAAAGGGAGAGGACGTTTGCTCCTGCCTGTTGGGAAAGCTCTCTAGATATCTGAGCTCTAGCTACCCTCTCAAAAGCCTCTCCACCACCTTTTCTACGCCTTTATTTCAGCCACCAGTGGGTTTTAACGCCTGCCCATCGCACTGCTAGTTCCCAGCTGCCAGCAAGCGTAAATAGGGGTGGCCTGTGCAAAGCTGTGCCTGGTCCCTTGGTGAGGTGCCCCGAAGCTTTTCATCGGTTACAGGCATCTATGGATGTTGGCTGTGCCAAGCCTGGCACGGTTTGCCCGATAGCCAATGCTCAGCCACACCTGGTGGTCCAGGAGCAAAATCGGTGGCCGTGACGCAGCCTGTTTGCATCTAGAAGTAAAATAGTGAAGGATTCAGGCTTGGGACGGGAAAGTCCTCCAAGGCGTGACACCGGGGAAGGCACAGGCAGCCAGGAGGGAGCTTTGAGCGGCGTGTTGTAAGAAAAGATGATTTTCAGAGAGGATGCTCCCGTCTAAGCAGGTTTGGGGCAGCAAAAGGGCAGCGCAAGGAAGAGGAGAGGCGATGTGCACCCCTGGCTGCTGGCAAACCCCAAACCCCGCAGCAGAGGCTTACCCTTCCCTCCAGCCTGATGGATAGCCAGGAATCTCCAAGGGATGGAGGCAGAAAGGCCAAAGCCTCCCCAGGGCATCCGTGTTGCAGCTGGGGCTCGCTCCGGACTCATTAACTTAGCAGCTCGTCAGGCGCTACAGATAATTACAGCTTTTTACAAATTCAGTCTTGGCCTGAGAAAGGGAGGGAAGGGAAGCAGGACTTTTCTTCTGGACCTTTCAATGCGTTTTGAAACCCTGGGAGATCCCTGAGGAACGTGTAAAGCAGCATCCGAGCTACCACTGGGAGCGGAGGTGAGCTCTCTGGTGGTGCTCAGAGCAGGCTGGGTGGGAAGGATGCTCCTGGCACCCACAGCATCCTTAGGGAGAGACCCACGGCAGCGGAATTACCTGGGGGAAGATGCAGTTCTCAGCAACACCCATGAGCTCACACCTTTGCCCAAGGGTCATCCCAAAGCCCTGGGGGAGCAGGACACAGGGCTGCAGCAGATACAGCCCAGAGAAATAATGCTACTAAATAACAACGCTGATAAATTCCATTAGAAATGCTTATTGCACGATAAAAACCCAAATTAAAACCAATCCTTCAACCCCTCCTCTTTATAGCAAGGAACCGACCGCTGAGGCCAGCCCGGTAGCATGGGGTGGGGGGAGAGGCGAAGCCATCGCTGGTTTTCCTGCTCCCATGGAGGCTGCTGAAATTCCTCTGTTATAATAAATTTTGTTGAAAAGGAAGGAGCCCAGCAAGCCCCAGCCCAGCTCGCTGCTGGCACCTTGCGAGGATGGACCCCACCGGCGATGCTTCATTAACTCAGAGCCACGCGATCCCTGCTCCCCGTCACCCACGTCAGCGCCGGCCACTGCTCGAGTCCAGCGACAGCAGAGGATGAGGAATGAAGAGGGAAAATTTGACCCGGGGCTGGTGCCTTCAGTGATGGATATTTTTCAGGGTTCATTTAATGGCACGGGGTTTGGCCGAGGAGCGTGTGTTACGGACCAGCGGCGCTGTGCTCTCTAGAGCATCCCTTCTGTGGCCTTCTCCCGTTGAAAAAGCCACCCCACCTGCAAATAAACAAGAGCTAGGAGGGGAAGGAAAAGAAAAAAAGATTAAACCAAGCATAAAATAAGCAGGAAAAAAAAAACCAAACCAGAAGTGAAATTCAATGTTCTCTAAAAATCTGAAGTTTATTCATTAGAATTCAGTGAAAGGAACATTCAGTTGAAAACACAATCAAGACATTAAAAAGTTTAAAGGACTAGTAGCGATGAAACCAGAAAGAAAATGAAAAAAAAAAAAAAAAAAAACCAAAACCAAAACCCAAACCAAACCCCAAAGATTCAGACCAGTCGGTCACCTGGGAGGAGCTGCCTCGGCTCCCAGGACGCCTGCCGGGCGGCGGAGGGGAAGCACGGGGCCACCGGGGGCGAGGGCTGATTTCTATTTTTATTTTTTTCTCTTTAGAACCGAGAGGCTCATCCAGATTTTAATTCCTCCCTCCACCCAAGCATAGCTTCTAGGATGACTCAGTACTGGTGAGAAGAGCTGGTAGCCCCAGCTGGAGTGGAGGGAGCTGCAAAATTATGGGGCAGAGGGAATGTGAGATGCGGCGCGGTCCGAGCGCCCCAGGAATGTTTGCCAAGTGACCTGCCCATCCAGTCCCCATGCCGGGAACAGGGGCAAACCCATTTAAGAAAAAAAATAATAATAAAAAAAACCCAAAACCACCATTAAGTGAAGAGCTGTTTAATGAAAAGACATAAAAATCTACGCAGAGCCAAATGTCTCAGTGGCAATTGCCACCTCTGCTGGCATTGGCAGGGCGGGAAAGGAGGAGGAAAAATTGGCTTTTGGCTGTAATCTTTTAGCTTTTCAGCGTTTCATTTTCTTTTTGCACGTCACTGTTTGACACCGTTCTCGCCCGCTCAATCAATCACCGCGGCTCTCTGCAAGAGAAGCGATTTCAGCCCTTCCGCCCCGCGCGGGGCTGCAAACGCCGCAGGGGCACAGCTCCTAGGGAGCCCAGCCATCGAAGCAGCGCGCTCGTTCAGCCAAAGAAAAGGCAAAAGCCAGAAGAGCCGCGTTATCTGGCGTTGGGTCTTAGCTCACCAGAAGCTCTCCTTGTGCTTCTGATCCCAAAATTCCAGGCGTTACTGCTCCAGGAAGATGCTTTACTGACGCTGGGATGCAGGCAGCACAGGGCTGCAGCTCCCCAGGCTCCAGCCTGGAGCAGTAGGAGAGGAGGAGAAGGGGGGAAGCCCCACCAATCCCCCGTGGACCCCGGGATTATTTCAGGAGCGAGCCTCAGATCCGGAGCGGGCAACGCTGCCTGCCCAAGGGCGAAAGCCGAGCTCCCAGCCTGGCCAGGGAGCACCCAAGGGAGAAGGAATCTGTCACTGGTTTCAAGAGCATGGCCACCCACAAACCAACAGCACCTCCTGCCCCGGGGATTTAAGAAAAACCCCGGTTTGGGATAAAATAATTTAAACACACGGAAGGGAATGCCCTAACTGAAGTTCGCGGTTTTCTAGTTTAAAAGGGAGTCTTTCTTCCAGGGAGAAATCACCAACATCCACAAATTCAGATTAAAAACAAAGCTTCAAAAAAAGGGGAAAAAAAAAAAAAAAAAAAAAAAATAAGAGTTGACAAGCGCGACAAAGCAGTAAGGAAAGCGAGGGCGCCTCCGCGGTGAGCGCAAAGAGAGAGCGTGCGCATTGGCAACGACCGGCTGCCGCCTTTCGGAGCTGGCCCTGGCTGTCAAGCGGAAGGGGACGACCCGGGAGGACACGGGGAACGAGGTGGTTTCCTTGCCTTGCACGGGCAGCGGAGGTGGTGGCAGTAATTGCCTTTTCTCCACCGGAACGGTAAACCACACCACTTTAAAAAAAAAAAAAAAAAAAAAAAGACAATGCACACAAGTAAAAGAACAGTCCATAAAATTTCCCCATGAATATAAAATGCAAAACTATACAAAAATAGATAAAATCGACCGTTTTCTTATGTGTATAAAAACAAACAACCCCCCCCCAAAGTCCCCCAGACGCAACACAGAATTCCTTGGTAGACTGACCCGAGCGCCAGTGGTTGAAGCCAAGTCAACAGCCGTAACTCATCACTGTGAGGCAAGACCTTCCCTGGAAGGGCCGCCTTCAGGCGATACCCTTGAGGGGAGTTTTTCCTTAACATCTTGGCAAGACAATCGGCTATTCCTGATTTTTAGGACTTATTTCTGGTTCAGAAGCCCCTTCTTTGTAAAAAGCCTCAATTCCCACTCTGAAATTCAAGTTCCTTGGGTAAGGCAGGATTTGACTTGGTCCAGATCAAGACCAGAAGGTCAAGACCAAGACCAAGATCAAGACCATCTATTCCTATTTACCCCGGGGCAGACGGGTATTTTAGGAAGAGCAGTAGTGCATCAGGCAGTGCAATCCAACCTCTCTACGGCAGTGATAATTTAAAGGCTGGGTTAGCGCATCGAAAATTCTTGTTTCTTTGGGTTAACGGGGCAGAATACGTCAATAATCCAGCAAATTGGCTCTGAAAATGCTTTTAGAAAACTCGTTTGAAATCAATAGGTATTTGCTTCATTTAGTTCACATCAAATTTAGAGGAGAAACCTTTGGTATAAAGTCAGATTATCAAGTCTTGGCTGTATTGCTTCCGCTCGGTTGAGTCTAGAAACCGTGTTTCGCTAAGCCTTTCCATTGCGTACCTACAACCAAAAGAATTATTCCGGGAGACGCACACGTTTGCAACGGAACATTCATTGTAGCACCGAGCCCCTTTCACACCTCACCAAGACTTTGGCAAAGGCTGCACCATGTCCAAGCAAAACGCGAACGCAAAACCCCCTCGCCCCCGCGAAGTGCCTTTGGTGACGCGCTAAAATAAAATAGTAATTAAAAAAAAACAAAAACGAGCACGGGGCTGCTGCTCAGGCCAAGCAAAACTGCTGTGAACGCCTGCCTGCGTGACAATGTCCCTGGTGTCACCGACAGTCTTTGCTCGTGGTTTTTAAGTTGTGAGTGGCGGTGAGATGTGCCGTGCCGAGGCCTGACCCTGTCCGTCCTCCGAGCAAGGGGGGAAGCCTCTTCCAATTAGGCCATGTTCCAATTAGGCAATGTTAGGCACGGCTCAGGTGCTGTGCTAACGAGGGGAGACTGCGCTGACCGCCGTGGAGGCAAGGGGAACCTCTTGCTGGCCGACCGCGTTCTCCGCTCCAGGCGGGGGATGCGGATGCGGCGCGGCAGCGGCATCAGGAGCCGGGTTTGTCCCACGAAATCCTCTCCGGTTGCAGGGAGGGAAAACCGTGGCACGGCGGGCGCCTGCGGTGACTCCCTGCAGCTGCACTGGTAGGAACATACTGAAAAATGAAGGTTTAAGCCCAGGGGTAGACAGATGGGTCTACTCCAGCCTCAGCAGTCTGTTTGGGAAAGAAAAACCCACCTAAGTCAAACTGTGGGCACGCAAAGCCTGGCTTTGCCATTCCCTGCTCCTTCAGAGATACACAAGGGCAGTAGGGAGCCGCTTCTCAAAATTAAATATTGGGACCTCATTTTGCTTGGGGGAGGAAAAAAAACCCTAAACAAACCCAAACCAGTTCCTTGTGCCTGTAAATATGGCGATGCAAGGAGCTGCTGACATTCCCAACCGGAGCCACGTCCGGGAAAAGTGGGTTTGGGCTGGGCAGAGCCGCCCCTCGCCCCGCACCTTGCTCCGGAGACGGGGGAAAACTCTTATTTCCAGATTTTGTAATTATTTTTTACTGCTACAAACTCTGCTGCAAAGAAAAGCAGAAAAGGGGCAACTCGGGAGGACACAGACACACAAAAATCATCGGTAGCTGAATTAAAATCAGGATACAGAGCTTGGACAGAAGGAAGAAGCAGCTTTGGAAGTCACGGACAGGGAGGTTTGGTTTAGAGACACGCGTGCTTGAGACCACGGAGGACACGGGCGATGCCTCGAGGACCAGCAGCCCAAAATGGACCTTTCCAGGAGCTCGTATGACCTCAGACAAAATCCGTCTCCTTGGCCCGTGTCCCTCCTCCACGCTCCTTCAAAGAGGAAAAAGCAACCCAAAACCTGCAGCAACCTCCAGCTTTTTTGTTCCCTCCAGCTAGGAGGAAGAAGTCGTGAAGCCTAATTTAGGCTGCGTTACATCCTGTATTCCAATTAACAGAATACTTTCCTCGTATGAGCTTATGCAAAGAAAACAACTGTAAAATAACTAAAAAAAAAAACCCAGAACAACCCAAAACCACAGAACAACCCACAAAACTTCTTTCTGAAGAAAGCAACAGCATCTGCAACGTCGCAGCTACTACCCACTGTGAAGACAGACCACGACAAGGAAGGGACCGACACCAAAGGGACACCACCGACAGCACATCTCTCCGAGCGCGGTATCTTTGAGCAAATTAAAACTAAACCTGAAAAAAAAAACGTTATTGGCACGCACACAAAAGCTCCTGCTTTCCTTTGGGGCAAGGGGAAAAAAAAAAAAACAAACACAAAACTAAAACCAATAAATAAAAACGCTACTGCAAAGTTGCCCTCTCAGCTGAACTCCCCTCCCGTCCTCGCTCTGCAAATCACCGGCACCCTTCCTCCCAGCCTCCCCGAACCAAGACCAAGACAGAAAACATTCAAAGTGAGTCTGAACCAAAACGTTTCACTGAGAAGAGGAAGAAAAAACCCAATTTCTCTCAACAGCTTCCCCAAGGCTTGCTCCCCCAGCTCCAATCCTGCAGAAAAAGCCCCCAGCCTCCCACGCCAGCCATGGGTCCGTTCCCAGGTTTTGTTCTAGCAGCAACGTGAGCGCACGCCGGGGGCTGCGACTGCGTTTGGCGCTGGAGAGCGCGGCGGCTCGCGCTGGGAAAAAAGAAAGTGCCTCGGCGTTAACGTACGGATCCCGGAGGCGGCTCCGAACCCCGCCAGAGCATCCGCAGCGGCGAGACCACGTACCACGGCTGCGGGAGAGGAGCTCATCCTTTATCAGCCCAGGTCTAAATTAAAGTCACTCCCAAATTGCCCGCTAATGCTTATTTTCTCCCTCCCTGCACTTTGCAACCCTTTTCGTGCCCTGCCCGGAGCAGCTATTCGGCTTGGGCGACATTCACGGCAGCGCTCCGGCAGGCGGCAGGCAGCGCGTGGCTGGGGGCGGCTTTGCCTTTCAGGGGCTCGCTGCAGCACTCCGGGCTTTTTCCGGCGTCGGTGCCGCCGTTGGGATGCTGAGGCATGCCCTGGGCGATGCCGACGGGTTTGCACTTGGCGCGTTTCTCCGGGGAGCAAGCAAAACTAAAGCCCGGGGGCAGCTCGGGCTCCGTTTCTCCCAAGGGTAACAAGCGGGACAGCTTTTTGGCAGTGACTTCTCCGTGGTACCGGTAGGAACCGGCCGCCTCCCGGGACCGCCTCGCCCCGGCCTGGCGAG